CAGGCTTCCCCATCCCCGGTGGGGGGGGTAGTATGCGCCGGCCCTGCAATTCTCTGTAAACTGAAGGAGTGGCTAGTTAGATTAAAGGCATTTAGCCTTTAATGTTATATTCTTTGTTATTATATCACATTAGTCTGGGGTTGTACATTTTGATTTTATTCGCTTCATTTTTTGTTCTGATGAGAGAGGACTGAAAAACAGATTTAGCTGTTTTTGTATCGTTATATTTTAGTGTTACCAATTTACGGTAATATGTATTTTGTTACCCCATTTTTTGTTATGAATGTTATTTAGTATGTCTGTCTTTATTGCTGTAATACAATTTTGTACCCCTGCGAAAATATTTGTATTATTCATAATATATATGTCAATCTACTGTAAGTTGCAACGTACAAGTCGACCTTTGTGTACAAGTCGACCTTTGTGTACACGTCGACCTGGCGTACAGGTCGACATCGAAATTTTTTTTAGCTCAAAATTCTGAGTTAGATGTATGTTTACCATATAGGTTTATCACCAAACATACGGTAGGCTACGAGTGACCCAAAACTGTAACCCGAAAAGATTTTTTAGGCTTGAAAACACGACCCAGAAAATATTTTGTAGGCTTGAAAACTCGACTTGTACGCAGCAACTCACAGTAAATATTCTTTAAAGATTCATTTACCGAATAATTTACTCAAACTCTCCTTAATTTTATCTAGGTAAGAGTAGGAAATCTCGATCGGCTCAACAAAGTACCCGCCCCGTGAAACATTGGGCTAAACTCAGTTATTTAATAAAACAACATCCAGGAAGCGATGCTTACTAAGAATGAATTTCATCGAGAAGCACATCGCTTTGACGAGGTGTGCTTTTTGGTGCCTTTGTAAAGAATGGAATATTAAGCAGTATAAAAAAAAAATATTTTAAATATTATTATTTTTTCAATGTATATCTCAACAAATAAAAATTTATACTTGTATATTTTTAAAACAAATTAAAATATTTTTGAAGAGGAAATTGTTTTGTTAATTTTTTTAAAAGAAAATGCGCTCCTAAAAAAAAAGTTTCAAACAAAATCTGATATTTGGTCATATTTTTGGAAATCGGGCCGAGAAAATTTTCAGTAGCCCCTCATATATAAATCTATCCGTAATTCAGAAAGATGGTTGGATATGTCTAAGGAACCTAGGGAACCTATTTATTGGTCGGCGTAGTCATATCAGATGCGCAGATGACACAGGGATGGCTGACACAGACAGAAAAAGGAAACCTTCTAGAGAAGGCAGTAAAGGAAAGCTATAAGAAAGTATTACCCATCAAATGTAAAAGGACAGGATATATGGTTGTCGCCAAGAGAAAAGCCCAAGATGAGTACAACGAATTGAATATTTCCAAACCAAGTAACTACATAAATTTAAATAACAGGGAAGTATTTTAACAGAGGATGGAAACTGCGACACCGAAATTCGAATGCACATTGGATTCGCGAAAGATGCATTTCAAAAGCCAAGCAAAATACTAAGAAACAGGAAAAATTTTTTGAAAACAAAGAAAAGAATGCTGAACTGTTATACGTTAGAAATTCTCGTTACGAGAAAAGCTTCCATAAAAAAAAGAAAAAAACCGGGAAGTATCAGAAAGATAGTGCTACAGAAAGATGCTGAGAATTCTATTGGATGAAGCAAGTAAGCAACGGGAAACTCCGAGAGAAAATGGTACTGAAGTTTCTTGGGCACAGAATAAAGGAGGGCTTGGAAAGCTTAACTCTCACAGAGCATATCGAGAGCCAGAAATATAGTAGAAGGCTGCGGGCCACCTCCAAGAAGAGAAATAATAATAATAATAATAATAATAATTGGGAAATCTGCAACTTTTACGCAAAGAAAGTACAAGAAAATAGTATGAACACCACCCAGACTTTGTTACAAACATAGGACCTGTGACAATTTTATGAGACTTTACAATACACACAGACAGAAGAATAAAGGGTAATCGCCCAGACATGGCGTTCAAAGTCTACAAAAACAGAACTGACATGGCAGTCCCTGCAGACTGTAATGTAACTGAATATCTCAAAAAAATCAAAATACAACGATCTTGAAGTGGAAATCTCAAAAATGTGACACATGGGGACATCAATAATTCCAGTTGTAGTTGGAGCACTCGGATTGATTGGAAAAGGTTCCGATAGGCTCATTGAAGGGATCTCTGGTAGCCCATGCTTTAAAGAATTACAAAAAAATATATAGTCAAAAATACAATTCACACATGACAAAGAGCTTTATCTGTGTAAAGTGTATGTGATCTTAGGGTGGTTTTGTTTGGGTTTTTTTTTTGCAAAAGTGATCCCTGGAAAATGTCATGAAGCCATTTCTGACCTTAGGTCTCTGGTTGGGACCCGGAATGAAATGAATACAACGGACATCAAAGGAAATAATAATAACATTAACACAGACATAACGATCAAAACTAATTCATCAGACATCGTTATTAAAGACCGCAAACACAAAAAGTGCAATGTGTCTTTGTAGATCTTAAAAAAAACACTATCAAAATGCAAGCACCTTGAAATCCAAATCTCAAAAATGTGACAAAAGAGGATATCAGTAATTCCAGTTGTAGTTGGAGTCCTCGGATTGGTTGGAAAAGATTCTAACAGACTCATTGAAGGAATCTCTGGTAGACATGCCTTTAAGAAATACTAAAAATTATTCTCACAAGTACAGCCCACACCTTACGAAGGGTTTTATCTATGTAAAATATGTGCAATTTTTTTTTTTAAATAGCACAGTGGAAAATGTCATGATGCCATTTCTGACCTTAGGCCTCTGGCCGGGACCCGGAAAGAAATGAGTACACACCAGAAATCAAAGGAAATAAAAATAACAATAATAATTTTTATTTTATTTGTTTATTGCTTTTTGCATGTACTTATTTTCTAGAATGAGACCTATAAACTTTTTTCCGTATATATGACAAGTCGAAAAGTTTCATTTCAAAATCTACAACTTCTTTGGACCATTTGCCCGTTGGTGCCAGAAACATTCTGACAAATCGCTCTACAACGGAATTGTGCATAGTTATTGAAATCTATCGTATTTTACACTAGTAGTATATTCCGTCTTTGCCCGTGTCTTTCATTACAGGGAATTTTTGCCGTTGAATTGAAGTAGTTTAAGTTTAAAGTCAGCCCACCCGAAAATCAATATTACTAACAACAATTGGGTGCAACTGAGGCACATCCCCAAATTGGGGAGTAACAATTTGAATGTGAGGTGGCCCTGAAAAGGGTCGTTTTTGCGTTATATACCTTGCAAGGAAGGAACCTTTTTCATGGACCGTCATAATAATAATATACGATAATTTTTATTTATAATATATATTTTTTTATAATTCTAATGATATTTTGCGTTAGATTTCAACTCTTAAAATTGATTGAAAGCTGTTTTTTTTACAGACATTAAATTTTTCCTTTGATTTTTGTGCAAAGTGTAAAAAATTAGTTTTTTCGATTTTTCACCTTCAAGATTGTAATTTTTTCCAACAAATTTGGACTCAAAACCGGCACTGAAGAATTATCCATTCAAACAAAAAATTTTTTATCGAAATCGGATGAAAACTGTGGAAAGGCATAAACAACATCCAATCACACACACACACACACACACACACACACACACACACGCATACACCCACTCATTTTGATAATTATAGATATAGATAATATTATTATAATAATTTAAACTATTTATTTTTATTAAAGTTTTTATGAAAGTTATATATCCAAGAACAGATAGTAAATAGTAAAACGTTGCTGAGAATTATAATGGACAGGAAGTAGTGGAGAGCCATTGTCGCCAACAATTTGGTCTCAAAACCGGCACTGAAGAATAATTTATCAATCAAAAAAAATTTCATCGAAATCGGATGAAAACTGTGGAAACAACATCCGATCACACACACACACACACATATACATACACACATACATACACACATTTTGAGAATCATACTTATTATAAAACCCAGGTTGTGTGTCTGTTCGTTTATATATTGGGTCGGATTTCCTACATTTTCCAACCGATTTCAACAAAACTTCACGGGACTACGTAAAATTACCTTGCGGTGGTTCTGACACCACCAAAAATTGGAAAAACACAATTGTTTTTGCACAGAATCAATTTGAAAACACAATTAAGAGACATCACTGTCACCAGAATGAAAGGGGGACAACTCATATCGAGTTATACTTATTATAAAAACCCAGGTTGTGTGTGTGTGTGTGTGTTCGTTTATATATGGGATGGGATTTCCTACATTTTTCAACCGATTTCTACAAAACTTCACTTTTTTTTTTTGGCGGGTAGTGTTTTTTATTGTCTTGCACACTTTTACCTTTATTTTTACATTCAGAATGCTTTAAAAATTCCATTTACAACTTGTTTATAATAAAATTCTATTCAATCGGTAGACTCAGAACGATTGAAAACAATGTTTTTGTATGAGTTTGGGTTTGACCAATTCGTAAAAAAAAAAAAAAAATTAAGACATGCGTGTCCGTCAACCTTAAACCTTTGTCAATTTTATTTTTCAGTCTTTATGATGGTCGATACTTGATCTATCTCTTACTGTTACATCCCCGGGCAACGCCGGGCTCTACTGCTAGTTATAGATATACATAACCGCGCCCCATGTCTAACCATCCTTTTACAGCTTCAGGTCGCTGTGTTTTTAATTCAAAGTTTTCCTTCTCCTAGGCTGGTTGCCAATCAAGCTTGCCCTGCTAATTAATCTGTAGCTAGTGAGAGAACTGGTGGGTTCATATCATTTGAGCGAAAGTGAATGACCTGAATGTGTATTTCTCGTTCAGGACTACCTTCATATACACGGTAATATTTCGAAAAATAAATACATATGAAGTTTTCTGGTTTATTTTCAAAGATTAATTGCAGTAATGATTTTAGAGAAATATGGGTCACCTCAGTAAAAATGCTATAGATGGCGGCAAAGAAGACAGATTTAATCTTCTGTTCAGCATTAAGATCAAGGAAGAAACGGGGAAAAGCTGAAGCTCGTTTATAGTTTTTTTCTGAAGCAAGGCAATAAAGCCACTAAGACGCAACAAGTTACTGAGTGTCAGAGAACACTATTAAAGAGAGAGAACAATAAAAGAACAAGAATTATGAAAAAGAAGATAGCGATTGACATTGCGTTTAAATTTTTGGAGATCAAAGTTGACTGGGAAGCAAGAAGCCACAAGAGAGTTCCACAAGCGAGAAGTGCGAGAGAAAAAAAACTGTTTGGCACAGTGTATGGGGATATGTGGAGAAGATAACTGCTAACCCTAGATTTGAACAGGTTAAGATTATAGTGATCAGGGAAGCATCCTCTTGGGAGTCGGTTCCACAAAACAGCGATTCGTGGGAAGAAGCTGACATCTCTTGCAATGGAATACGAATGGAATGAGGGTGATCGCCACAATGGGCGTGGCATGGCGCGTCTTAGCAGTGAAGGTTAGAACTGGTGGAACTAAGGAATGGAGTTTGTGTCAATATTTTCCATGGAAATAACTAGAGACTTGCGACGTTTCGTCTGTGAGAAAGTTGATATATATATATATATATATATATATATATATATATATATATATATATATATATAATTAAAGAATATCAAACACTTAAAATCCCAAAGGTATTCATTTTTATTTTATGAAAGCTCTTAAAAAGCAGCTCTCAATCTTCAAGACTTACAAACAAATCACAGATATCCCGGCTTCAAGCAATCAGACGTCTAGCCACACTAAGGAGCTGCGAAACAGTCTCT